CAAGTTGGTGGTCAATTAGACGTATTTGCATTCTGTTGCTAATTAACTGTTCCGATAAAATAGTTTCGCTATCATAGCCAGTCCCGACAATAAACAGATGCTTTTTCCAAAGATAACTAATGGATTAGTCTTTTGTTTTTGTAACTCTGTGTGATCCAGCGACATTTTGTTTTTCGGTCAGCGGGTGCTTAATCTTTAGTATTCTGTCTCGCAGGTCATTTGACCAACCTGGAATTTTCACCATTGCCATGGGCAGATTGGCTATATCTTATTCTCTGCCCCGTAACATAAATCAGATTAAATCCAGTATCTTCCTTTCTCGACAATGGAAATAAAAATTGTTCATGATGGCTTCTTATCACCTAAATTTAATTCTCGCCTTTTCTCTATTTTCTTCTTTCTTTCTAGCAAGACAAATAGTGTCACAGAGCTTTGTCTGTTTCCTTTTGCTGAAAGGGTGCAAATCGACCCCACCAAGCTCATTTTTATGCAGGATAATTCTCCCTGTCACAAATCAAAATTGATGAAGGAATACTTTGACGAGAAGCAGGTGAGTGTTATGACATGGCCGCCCCAATCTCCTGACCTCAACCCCATAGAAAACTTATGGAGCATTATAAAGTACAGGCTCTCGAGAAAACAGTTGAGCAACAAAGAGGATTTGTTTTTGAATTTCATATCCGAGTGGAATTCAATGCTTGGAGATGAGATTTGCCAGAACCTAATCAAGTCAATGCCAAAAAGGGTTGAAAAGGTTATTCAAAATAAAGGAGGACCCATAGATTATTAAATATTTCGAACTATATTACCTATTATAAATAAATTATACCTCTATTATTCTTTATTTAAAGCTGTTCGGTTATGTTTCTATTGATTACTAGTTGCATGAAAATAAGTGAGTCACTTTTTTGCATAGTGTTTTTCCCTAAACCTCATTTATATCCAAAATTATAATTATCAATAGAATACCTTAGGGTGAGTAAACTTTTTTACTAGGTGATCGGGAAGAGGTCTTTATGTTAGTAAGATTCAAAATTAGTTTGACCCCCAAAAACAATAGGCGAAAAAAATTTTAAGTAAAAAAAAATTAGGTTACTCACTTTTTCGAACAGCACTGTATAATAGGAATCTAGCCTTATACTTCCAAAGGTAAAATTATATATACACACAGAATAAAATAATTACGTACGATCTATAATATGGAATTATATATGTATATAGATATATAAATATGCTATTATGACGGGTGATATGAATATTAATAGATGTTACATATTATAGTAATATTCATAAAATCTATTTTAAAATCTATTTTAATCGTGTTCAATGTGCAGGTGCTTACATTTAAGTATATATGTAGCAATCAATTTACTTCTTTTGTTCAGTAAGTTAGAGCTATTTACGTTTTTAAGATAATAAGTTTTTCTAGCAAGTTACATGTTTCCATTTCCATAATGTTTTAGCTTTCGCGATTATCTCTCAGCTAATGGATAGGTTCTTATAGTTGTTTTTTTAATCGCCAAAAATATTTTGAGTTTGTTGTACAGTTTTTCTATTTAATATTGTTCAGCGTCATTTGATGATGGTAAAAACGCAATTTCCATTTGCTCTCGGTGGAACCAAGTAGTATTTAACATCGTTGTCTGATTTGATCCTAGCTCTGTAGATTATGTTCTCGGTTCATCACTGGCCATTTAGTGGGCAGATTACGTTTTTACGGCAGTTGCATTGACTTTTAGTAGGATTATTATTTGGCATTTTTTTTGTGTTTGCTTGATATATTATTGTTATATTGCGATATATAATTATCGATGTTTTTAGTACAGCTATAGCTCACCTTAATATTATTTTTGTTGAAAATCTTTTTTTACTGTTGGAGAATCACTAAAGTGTTTGTGAATTAAATTTAGAAAAATCTACCTACATTAGTTTGGACGCTACTATTGTAAGGTCGATTGAACCACATCATGTTACGTATGCGTTGTTTTATCTGACTTTTATCTTGTTTCTTTTTACATAATCTAATTTCACTTTGTGGTTGTTTTTTTCTAGCCCTTTAGTATATTTAGTTTTATTATCATCAAATATTTCTTTGTTACTGGAGTTGGTCGATAATCGAAATTGTCCTGATTTGCGTAAGTTGTCAAGGATTCTTTTATGGTGTTTGGGTTTTCTGTCGACGTACTTGTGATTGTGTGGATCCTTAGTGTATTGTTTACACAGGCCTTTACTCTGGACTAATATAACGTCTGAGAAATTGATCCATTTAGGGTTAATATTTGTGGTAATATTCACTTTATGGTCCTTAAAGAATTTAGTTAGGTCCTTTCTCATCCTGTCCGCTTTCTTGATTTCAATTTACGAAGTAAAATTATCTTGTCGTCTCTGTATATTCCGTTGTTTTTTATTATGTCGTAGATAAATCTGAGTCCCCATAGCAACAGTGTCCCTAAAAGTTTACATGTGCTCCAATGGATACTATATACATAGTCACGAAATTTTGCAAAATTCACACATTCTATGTTTAAATAGAATTACGTCATCCATTTAAATCTTACAATTTGATAAGATATTACGCATTTCATTTTCAAGGTCAGATATACGAATAAATACCATTGATCTGTGTGAGTAACATGCAAATGCTTGCCCAATAAATCACCTTCCTCGTATTTCTTCTCCTATGTGCCGTCTCCCTTGATCACGTGGCCGAACATGTCTCTCCACTACTACCTATCCTTTGTACCTTTTAGCAATTTTTGTCTTTTTAGTATCCATTTAAGTCTCTGTTCCGCTAGCCATTTATACTGCCTTCCAAAAGTCCTGTGAGCATTTAATTCGTTAAGACTTCATCCTCATTATGTGTCCTAGAAACTTGCTTGCAGTTCTTATTGTTCTTAAAAGTACGTTGGTACTGACATAGTCCATCCATAGTGTTTTCAAGATTTGTCGCGTCAAATCTATGCTTCTTCGGTGAGAACATTGTCCAATAATCATTGCCACAAAGACGATTACATGGGATTCCAGCATTTTTAAATTTGGCTCTGATGTCATTTTCTGATCTCTTAGTGCTTTGCTTAATTTCAGAAAGGCATATTTCGCTATTCCTATGCACCTTCTGGTTTCTGAATCACGCTTTCCATCGTCTGTTACGACACCAACTGTTTTTCATCTATTCGCCATTTCCCCTTAAATTGCTCACTAACATGAAATAGATATCTTTAAAGAGATCGACCTTGAGTAGCAGTATTTAATTTCGTATGGTCACATATAAATACGAGTTCGAGTTCATGTTTTGCGCATGGTATTCTCAGCATTTATTGGTAGATCCACATTTCTTTTGGTCCCTGTCTCTTTGTCTTCTGTGAAAAAATTCTCGGGCGATCACCGAAGTTAAGCAACGTCGAGCCTGGTCAGCACCTAGATATGTGAACGCTTTGGAATACGAAGCTCTTTAAGCTTGGGTGTGAGGGTGGTGTAATAGATAACTGTTCGAAATTGAAATTCAGAGAGCCGAGATCCAATTCCAGTCGGGTCCATTATATTCACTTACGCACAAATACTCCTAAGGAAGGCATGAAACCATAACTTTCCCTCCACTGACTATAGTTTAATTAGTACAGGGTGACCCAAAAAAACGGGAATTTTTGAAGTGCGTATTGCCAGACATGAGCAAGTGGCAATACTACGAGACAGTGACCTTGAGCAAGTAAATATTTCGCCATTTAGAATTCAAGATGAAATTCACAGTATCCCAGTTGAGATGTTACAGCAGTCAATGAGGAATCTCAACAGCAGATTTCAAGAATGCATTCGTACAGGAGGACGCCATCTACAGGACGTAATTTAAAAAAAATGAAAATTCCATCATTGTTAAAATGGCATATTTTAAGGTTTCAATTACTATGAATAAAATATTTTTCTTCCATTACTCTTGGTTTTATTGGATTATTAAAAAGTTCCCGTTTTTTTTTGGTCACCCTATATTAGTAAATACTCATATCCGAAAAATCTATAAAAATATTTTCTAGCTTTAAATAACCATGCAAAAGTTTCATAAGTCGTAAAACAACAATCAAAAATGAAATAAATGTGTATTGAGCATTAAATTTAAATATGGACGCCATTTTTGTGTACATATATCCGGAAATTCAACAATCAAGAAACGTTCTATATGGAACACAGAAACACATAGAACTTGGGGAAATCACATATCGGTTGAAAATCAACATGGCCGTAGCTAAGTAAATGAAACATTAAGAAAGACACATAATAGGTATTAATATCGGCTCGAAAAATAACATGAGATCAGGCTTCTTAAAATTTAGCATAGATAAATCACAGTAAAAAGCAGTTCTAAAATCTAGAGAAAAAATGTAAATAAAACATTGAGGCACATAATTAACGACTGTAACAAATTGGTTAAGGGAAATCTTTGAAAAAATCTTAACAACATTAAATACACAGATGATATCACGTTGGTGGCAGACACGGAGAGAAAATTCCAGGAAAAGGTAAATAAAAAGTGGGAAGAAAGAAATAGCTTTCGCTTGTAAGAATTCAGAATGTATGGTCATAAGAAAGAATAAAGCCTAAGGTGACATCTACGAAATGAAGATACCATAATCAAGCAAGTTCTGAAATCTGACTGGGAAATGTTTTAATAAATAACGGGAAATGTGACATCAAAATCCCAAGGCGTATTGTAATTGTGAATGATGTTTAAAAAAAAATATGCAAAAAGTTAAGAAACATAAATAAAAGTTCATTAGAAAGAAAGAAACCAATTCTGTAGTGCTATGTAATATCAGTTCTATATAGTAATGAATGCTGGCTAATCTTCTCACAGATGAAGAAGAGATGTGAGGCAACAAAGATGTAGTGAAGATGCAAAGAATATTATAAACGGAATAGTTAAGCACCTAAGAAGATTTAAGACACTTATAGTTACAATCAGATGACAGTTGAAAAAAATATATTTTCTCTCATATTTTTTACTTAAAATGTTAGTGTCTTTTTTGTGTTTCTTCTGTTTTCTTTTTTTCTTCATTCTAACTCTTCCTCTTTTATTTTTCTTTCTCTTCCTTCTTTTTTCTTCATTCTTTCTCTTCCTTCTTTTTTCTTTTTCTTACGTTTCCTTCCTTCTTTTTTCTCCATTCTTTGTCTTCCTTCTTTTTTCTTTCTCTTTCTTCTTTCTTTTTTCTTCATTCTTTCTCTTCTGTCTTTTTTTCTTCATTCTTTCTCTTCTTTTTTTCTTTTTTTCTTCATTCTTTCTCTTCTTTCTTTCTTTTTTCTTCATTCTTCTCTTTTTTCTTCATTCTTTTCTTCCTTCTTTTTTCTTTATTCATTCTCTATCTTCTTTTTTCTTTTTCATAATTTTCCTTCCTTCTTTTTTCTTCATTCTTTCTCTTCCTTCTTTTTTCTTTTTCTTACTTTTCCTTCCTTCTTTTTTCTTCATTCTTTCTCTTTTTTCTTCATTCTTCTCTTCCTTCTTTTTTCTTCATTCATTCTCTATCTTCTTTTTTCTTTTTCATAATTTTCCTTCCTTTTTTCTTCATTCTTTCACTATCTTCTTTTTTCTTTTTCATAATTTTCCTTCCTTCTTTTTTCTTCATTCTTTCACTATCTTCTTTTTTCTTTTTCATAATTTTCCTTCCTTCTTTTTTCTTCATTCTTTCTCTTCCTTCTTTTTTCTTCATTCTTTCTCTATCTTCTTTTTTCTTTTTCTTACTTTTCCTTCCTTCTTTTTTCTTCATTTTTTCTCTTCTTTCTTTTCCTTCATTCTTTCTCTTCTTTCTTTTTTCTTTATTCTTTCTTTTACTTCTTTTTTTTCGTTCTTTCTCTTCCTTCTTTTTTCTTTTTCTTACTTTTCTTTCCTTCTTTTTTCTTCATTCTTTCTCTTCTTTCTTTTTTCTTCATTCTTTCTCTTTCTTATTTCTTTTTACTTCATTCTTTCTCTTTCTTCTTTTTTCTTTATTTTTCTCTTTCTTCTTTCTTTTTTCTTCATTCTTTCTCTTCTTTTTTTTTTTCTCTTCCTTCATTCTTCATTCTTTTTCTTCCCTCTTTTTTCTTCATTCTTTCTCTTACTTCTTTCTTCTTTCTTTCTCTTTCTATTCATTCTTTCTTTTTTCTTCTTTCTTTCTTTCTTTCAAACATCGGTTCCCATACGTCACCAGACTTAAGCAATGTTGGGCCTGGTCAGTACGTCGATGGGTGACTCTTTGGGAATACCAGCAAGCTTGGTTCTACGTTTGGTATAATGGATAATCTCTTGTAATTATTAATCAGAAAGCCGAGCTCCAGTTCCCGTTTATTCGTTATATTCACTTATGCACAAATATCATTGAGAAGGCTATGAATTCTCCTTTTCTCCCTCAGCTATGGGTTAATTAGTAAGACGTGTATCACTAAAACATTACTATCTCCACACCAAAAAAAGAAATTCTTACAATCTAACAATATTTTGGGCTTTAAATAACCTAAAAAGAGTTGATAAACCGTAGAAAATGAATGAATCAATCAATCTTTTTTTCTGTTCCTTTTTTCTTGTGTTCCTTGATATACTCGTATCCGTCTGTTTTTATATTTTTTTCATTTTTGCGTCTTTCATTTTTCTTCTCTTTTCTTTGTTTTTTTTTTCAGGGCATACGGCCATATCCCGTTGACGATCACTGAAGTTAAGCAACGACGAGCCTGGTCATCACCTAGATATGTGAACGCTTAGGAATACCAAGCTCTTTAAGCTTGGATGTGCGGATGGTGTAATGGATAATTGTTCGGAATTGGAAATCAGAGAGCTGAGTGACAATTCCAGTCGGGTCAATTATATTCACTTATGCACAAATACTCCAGAGGAAGGCATGAAACCATAACTTCCCTTTCACTGATTATGGTTTAATTAGTATTAGTAAATCCTCATATTCAAAAAATCTATAAAAATATTTTCTAGCTTTAAATGACCATGCAAGAGGTTCATATGCCGTAAAACACCAATCAACCAATAAATAAATGTATATTGAGCATTAAATTTTAATATGGACCCGATTTTCTTGTGTATAGATTTACATATTATGTGTATCTCCATAACCTGAAAACAATTGAATGAATTTTAGCCAAATTTTAGTGAATTTCGACCACAATAACGTTGAAATTGAGGTTAGTTTTCTCAGAGGATGATTTGTTGTTTCTGCAGCTAATAAAGAACAATGAAATAGTTGATGTTAGCCACTGATTTGTACATAATCCCTGCCAACCATGAAAGGTTAAAGAACAGATACCAGTTTTAAATCGAATAACAAATTTTTCTTATAGCGTCATTGAGATGCAGAAAAGGAGTACTTGTTGATATTAATCGAAATTCACATGTAAAAACAGGACTAAAAGTTATGCCATTTATGAATACAAAAGGCTCACAGTTCTTGAAGAGAAAATGCAACGATGTACAGAATCGAAGGCGAAGATGTGGTACGGGTGGCGAATCGTCCCGCTGTTTTATCTTCTGTTCAGTATTTTTATGCCTGATGTTTGTTTATTGATTGACACGGGATCGCTTCGCCTTCGTGTAAAACTTATTAGAGGAGAAAGAGTTTGAGCCTGGTTATTCTACATTTGTTGGTCGTGAGCCAAAGTAAAAGAAACCGTTGTGCCGCAGCGAACCCGATCGCTTGGGTCGTAAAATAGTAGGACACGGTCGGAACGTCAAAAATAAAATGACGAACACGAGAAGGTGTGGTGAACGATGAATAACTTTGGAAGCAAATCACACACGTACACACACACGCGCATGCGCAAACAGTTGCACAAACATACACACATTCACTAAGAGGATGCAGGTGTTAGTGAAAGAAATGAGAGATCTTTTGAATTTCTTAATTCTATTCGGTTGTTTGGGATAATTTCCTCCCATCTTTGTTGCTTGTTTTACACAACGAACGTGTATTCTCTTGCCCTACCTCTATTTCCCATTGTCTTCAGGAATGTGATCGATTCTTGTTCTAAATAGGGTTTGAGCTTACAAATCTCATACATAAGGTGTACGAGCAGAGGTCTAAGCGCAGAGACGTACGATGACTGGTCAAAAAGTATCGCCAAAAAGCGCTCTAATATTAAGGACATGTATTAGAGCTAGTTTAGTGAATAAACGAGATCTAATAAAAAAAATATCGGTACTGGGTCTATGAAAAGAAAACTACAACACATATCAAGTCGGTATTTAATCTCCTTCGAAGTAGTCTTCTTCTGAAGCCGCACACTTTATCCAGCGCCGTTTCCATTAAGGGAAGCATTCATGGAACTTCATTTTTTGGGATATTGTGCAGATGCCTCATCGCATTCTCTTGTATTTCCTTGCTACTTTGAAGTCTTGATTCTTACGTATTGGATTTTAATTTTGAAAGAAGAAAACTCGCAAGGAGCGAGATCTGTGGAATATGGAGAATGTCGGGTCTGCGGAATGTTGGGCTTGACTCAAAACAGTTACACAAGCTATGATGATTAATGGATCCTCTGTCATTAGGTGAGACGTCCACAGTCTTTTAAGCACTGCTATAAACAATGCAAGTGAGCGAGAACGTTATGACTTAGTGTGTACGCTAGACAAAGTTCAAAAACACCTTCCCTCTGCATACTTTATCTATGTTACCGTAGCAAGAGACCCGATACTTTTAATCAGACCTCGTATATGAAATCCGGTGCTTACAAGGCCCTAACATTGGGAAGATGCTAAAAACAAACACAAGGAAACTAGTCTGAGCTAACTATATACAACGTGGAGGGACACAGTGTAAAGGAAGTTGCAGGTAAAAAGAAACCGTAAGAATTTATTTTGATAAGCTATGCAGGTGTTAAGGTGGTACATTTTCAGCTATGGAAGAATCTGTTTTTGTATTCACATCGGCAAATTGTTTTGTGCTGTGTTGTGAAAATTCTGTGCGTCATCATTGTGTTTCTGTTTGTCGAAACACCTTCAGATGTAGAATCTACAAAGCAATCTGGACCAATACAATTATATACGAGGTTCGGTTAGAAAGTTCATCGGCTGACCAAGACACCACTGTATCAGAATACAACGAGTGGCCGACCGGTTGCTATATTCTGGTACACTGTACCTATTCTATTATTAATAGACTCTCCCACACATAATAAGTAGTAGTAGTTGTAGCGGTCGCTAGTGGAGCTCAGTGGAGTTGAGTGAGTCAGTCGATGTCGGACATTGAAGTATCAACCATCACAACAAGATTGCTGCGTCATTAACTCTTATTTCAAGTTCCTAACGTTTTGTACGTCGGACCCTTTTAGGACCGACTTATTGAAATACAAGCCTCCACTGTAAAAACTACTCTACAACACATACATTACATGACTTTTAGTCTAGCAACCGGTGTGTCTACTTACATGTATATCTTAGTCAGCCTATGAGCTTTCTGTCGATCCTCGTAAGAAAAAAAAACGTAATAATTCATCCATATTAATTGATTGATCAGACGGAAATAGCTAAATCAGGACTGGAAAGTTTTCACTTCACTCCTGTATTCGCCAGATATTGCACCGTCAGACTGTGGTTTATTTCCGAATTTAAAAAAAAAAAATCTTCATGAAAAGAAATCAATTCCATGGAAGTCAATAGAAATATCGAAAACATTTTTCTTTTACTGAAAAAGACAAAAAAAAAGGTTATTAGCAAATGAACTTGTTTTAATGAAGACAGAAGGAAATGAAGCAAATATTTTGTTCAATAAATTTGTTGCCAAATGTTTTGAAAATTTTATTTTTATTTTCTTAATTTATAAAGTGAACGAAGTTTTTTCTGCATTCCACAAATGATGCGGGATTAGCCCTAAAAAAAAACAACTAACAAGCAAATGAAAAAAATTGGGTCCATTAGGGATTAATTTTTTTAGACATTTCCTCTGAGCATCTTCAATAAAAAAGCGATAATTCAACATTGTTAACAACGCAATCACACAAGACGTGAATAAATATATTTATGCAAGATAAGTAAGTATATGTGAAGTATTTTCTTTTGAATCCATTCATATCGTTCTTTAGTCGACATCATTCATTTGCGACGTTCCTCAAATGTCTATTTACAACGTATTTCTATTGCCTAGTTTTATCATGTCATCTATTTTAAATGAATATTGAATGCTGGTTCATATTTCGAGATATCAAAGTCGCCCTAGAGTATATTGTAATAGATATATCCACTTGAAAAAAACAAAAAACAAAACAAGGTAAAAAGTATGGAAAAAAAAACAACACATTATATATACAACTTCTGTCACGTATCTCACTTTGGTTCGTTACGGATAAACGAGTGTGAAATGAAAAAAGAATTACTTCTTATAATCATTATTAGAAAGTGTTATATAGGAATAAAGTGTCGCTGCCGCCATTTTGAACATAGATCGCCAGTGAGCAAACACAGGCGATCGCCTTATTGAATAAAGTAGACCACGTGACTATAGAGGAAACGCGTAAGTAGGAATTAGGTTGACGACTAACGATCGCTATTTCGAGTCTATCCTCTATTACCATACGGACCGCTATTCTCTACTCTATTCACTACACTATTTCTCTATTCATATCACTATACAGTGGTTACTATTCGAGCGAGTATTATCGAGCAAGTACTGTTAGTGCTAGATTATTGAAATGCGTCACAAACCAGCATTGTTTAACGGCGTACTATAGTTGTATCTGCGATTACAAAGTCTCTACTACAACGAGTATTATGAAAATGACAACGAGTATTCATTGGCATTACAAAAGTGGCAACTCGTTATTCGTTGACATCACAAAAAGAAATGACTTTGTTCGGTCGCTTATAATAGTGGTCGGTCAATATATACCGGAAAATAATTCAGAAAATATTAATGTTCCGTCATTTTAGCATCGGGCTTTGTTTCCCCTGTTTTTCTGTAAAGTACTTTCTTAAGAGTTGCTTAATTTTTTTGTGCAGTTACTAATATATATATATATATATATATATATATATATATATATATATATATATATATATATATAGTGGGGTTGAATAACTGATCGTACATCAAACAAATGCTTGATATTCTCACTTATAGCGAAAGAAAACCTCGAATAACAATGTTATATATATATATATATATATATATATATATATATATATATATATATTTGGGCATAGAATCAGAATCTGAAATTT